GGGAAACATTGTCTTCGGTGGACACGAGAGCGAAATTTGCAAACAACATCGCACGGCGGTTTGAACAGATGCCAGCGATGACAACTGATGTTGAAACCGAGTGCCAGCTGTTTAAGAGAGGCCTACTCGAGGCTGCCGCCGAATACTGCGGATTTAAACGGTTAGCCTATTACCTGGAGGTCAGCAAAGATCTTTATGGTGGACACGAGAGGTACAACTGGCAGTTAAAGAGAAAAAAAAAGCGTTCAAGAAATGGCTTGGAAACAAGGAACCATATACTCACGTGCGATATGTCGAGGCATGCAAGGCGGCAGGGAAAGCGGTGGTGAAAGCCGAAGTTGATTCCCGGGGTAAGTTCGGTGAGGTGCTGGAGTCGAATTTTCACACGGTAAATAAAGTATTATGGCAGACGATCGGTGGGCTCCCAGGTAAAAAGAAGGGCAGTGTGAGAGTTTTGAAGGACAGGCCTGGACACCCTTTTACCAAGAATGATGACACTCTTCGCCAATGGAGGGAGTATTTTGGGGAACTCCATAGTCCCGCGCAAAACCGTAGTAAGACTCGCCCATAAACAAACAGCGAATGGACATTACTCTCTCTGTAGTTGAAACTGCACAGGCTGTGAAAAGCTTGAAAAATAGAAGGTGTTCTAGAATTGATGAGATGCTCAAGGCATTTGGCGAACTACGCATTTGCTGACTTACACGTGTCTGTCAAACTGCGATGACTGCGGGAAAAACTCCAGCGGACTGGAGAACGGGAGTTATTGTACGCATATTCAAGAAGGGAGACCAGAAGGAATGCTCCAATCATACGGGTAATACGTTATTGAGCGTTCCAGGCAAAGTCTACGCAAAGGTGTTAGAAATAAGGTGCAGTGAAATAGTTGACCTCAAGATCCAAGAAGAGCAGTGTGGCTTCTGGCCCAGTCGAAGCACCTCTGACCATGTACTTGCCCTGCGCTAGATTGTTGAGAAATCGTGGGAGTACACCTGTCCGGTGTACATGTGTTTTGTGGACCTAGAAAAACCCTCTGACCGGATTCCGCGCAAAAGTCTGTGGACATGCCTTCGAGGATACGGGATAGATGGCCAGCTGCTAAGGGCCATCCAATCACTGTATTCTGAGAGCAGGTGCTGCGTCAGAGTTAATGGCGTTAAGTCGAAACAATTTAACATTGGCACTGGTTTCCGTCGAGGCTGCGACCTGTCCCCTCTCCGGTTTGTGTTGTAAATGGATAGAATAGTCAGCAGCTGCCAAGGAGATGAGAGTGTGGGTGTAGGAGATGTGAAGTCGAGAAAGTTGGTGTTTGCAGACAGCCCTCTTTTATTAGCATCTTCACTGATCTTCAGTGCTCTCTAGTAAAGTTATATCAGAGTGCGACGCAACTGCATCCAAAACGAAAAGCCTGTTGCTTTCTCGTCCTCCTGTTCGTTGCTCTCTTCCAATTGCCAGAGCGAGCGAAACAGGTGGAGAAGTTCAAGTACCACGGAGTAGTATTCACTGGTGATGGAAAATTAGAGGAAGAGATGGATGGGCGAATTGGAGTATCCAGTGGCGTTCTGCGTGAACCAGTCCGACCATTGTGAGTCAAGTTCAGTCTGAAAACTAAGGTCTCGATATTCAAATCGATATTTATCCCCATGCTTACCACGGTCATGAATCGTGGATCAATCACTGAAAAAGTTCGTACCGAGTACAAGCTGTTGAAATGGACTTTCTTAGACGAGTCGCTGGCCTTACGCGTCTCGACATGGTCAGGAATAGTGACAGCCGG